CATACAATATTTGTACAATTATATAGAATCTCTCACACACCTCAAACCCCACGAACACATCCCAAAATTGGACTGGGTGAGACTACAAAACATCCTCGAGTCTCATTCAAGACAGTCCATGACCATTTTAAACTTGGTATAAATAAAATACTAAGAGGAAGATTCTATTCTTAGAAACACAAAAAAGAGCCTTTTGATTTCCATTTGATGTGAAATTCAAAATAGTCTTATTAAAAAAAGAAATAAAAAATATTTATTTGGAATTGACAAACACAATTCTATTTAAATTGGACAATATCAAGTCAAAATCCCAACAAAATACCCTCTTCATTGAAAATTAAAGCGAGAAGCCTCAATCAAGAAACGAGATCATTCAACGAACATCAATCCATAGTACAAGGATTGCAAATACAACATTAAAAATGATCCTTAGATTTGATATCAACTTGGAATATTATGCGTAGATTGTTACACTTTGAAGGTGTTGGATGTGATTCCTTTTAAGGATGACAAATACAACATTAATTTTGTTGATGAGAATCCCGTGAAGACTCATGAACGATCGAAAATGTATTTATTACTATTGGATAGTAAGAGATCATGTCCTAAAGTTTGTGAATTAAAGTACGAAGAATGTAAAGGAAGAAATGAAATTAACACTAATTTCGTATCTCCTAACCAATCGAGACATATTTAATAAAGGTATTTTATTTGACGCTAAGTGAACATTTAAGGCCTTGTCATACCACGTGACACATCTCGTCACATGAGTTACATTGACAAATTGTTAGATGTCAATATTAGACAAAAAAAAATGCGGGTTAATTAATTGGTCAATTCAATAGATCTATTTCCATGTTATTAGTCATCATGATTGAGAACCTGATAAATTACACATTAACGATCGATTTTCAAAATACCCGAAATTTTTAGCACAAAATTAAACTACAATTTTAAACCTATTTGTGCAGCCTCTAATCAGGAGACAAAATTCCAACAATGAGAAAGCATAAAGAAGCAAACTTTTAACTACCTTTAAATTATCCTTGCTCAGTATATCACAAGATATATATTTATATGTTCAAGTACAATAACTTGTGTGTTTCACATGTAGATCATCACATGAATTCTCGCAACCTAGGACTAGTGACATGGCTTCCAATGCGACACTCATATTGACAATTCTTACTATCACATGTGCACCTCTAAATTACACGACACTCGACACATTTCACCGAATTTTATTTTCTTTATTAAATGTACCAAAAGCATGGACCATAGTACTTTTTCACATGGGAGAAAGGAAAGAAGGGGCTATTTTTTGATCAAATTTTTATAATAGGTTTTCCCATTGTGTTAGGTTTTTTTATTTTTATTTTTAACTTATCCATGTACAAAAAGGAGAATGTGCAGAAAATTAGGTAGCAAAAGACATGTATGAGCGTCTGGTTTAGAGTTCCAAGGACTAAAATATGATATGGTTTGTTATGTTGGTGTAATTTAGGATGCACATGCAATGTTCGGAGTCAAAGAAATTATTTGAGTGTTTTTTGGATTTTTTTTTTCTTGTGGGCGTGTAGTTTTTGTTATCTAATGGTTCATGCGTAGTCGATATTAATATTTTGCAAGAATTGCAGCTTATAATTTTTTATTTTATTCGATTTCCTTCTTCATCTTTTCATTCATGTTTATATCAATAAATATAAAAGCAAATGTTAGGATAAATACTCCATTTTGGATTGGAAAACATTAGCTTTCGACTCCGATAGTCCACCCTCACAAGATCCATTGACAATCTTATCGAATCAAACAATTGACAAATTTTATTGCATATCTATCCTCTTTGATTTTGTTTAATAACAACCAGTTCATCGCATAGAACATCGTATCTGATTGTTCATGTCCGCTGTAAACTTTTAGGTCAGATCCATAGACAACCTACGTCCACCCTCACAAGATCCATTCAAGACCTTTAGTGAAGGAGTAAATGTACATGACTTAGACGTTTGTACTTATTTTGTCTCATCAATAGCCTTAAATGAGTAACTTCATATAGACTAACTTTTTGTACTCGGTGATTTTGCGAAAGAGTTATTACAGCAAGTTAATATTGGATTGAATTTGAGTCAATTATAATGTATTTTTTTAATTAATTAATTTTTTATACTAGAATTAATCAATATCTTCAGCCCAGTAGAAACAATAAAGCAAGGCAAACAATCAGTTCAAAACAAAGAAATTAAAATCTTCTTTATTGTCACTTCAATGAGTTGTTCTATGCGTACATAATGCTTTACATGCACATGATGTAGTAATATATAATTAGGTTAGAATTTTTTCAAAAAAAAAAAAAAACTCTCCACTCTTTTTTTGATACATCATCTATATGTAAATCATTATGTACAAGAAACATTCTTCTTATAATAATACTAAGTATCAAATACGCAATTAGATTGCGATTGGCGCACATTACTAATCGTTCTAATTTTCTAGTAAAATCTTTATACGATCTAATACCGTCTATCAAATAGAATCTTAATATTAAAAAGAAACAACATTATTTACTTAAATTTTATTTTTAATGAAATAAAAAGTACTTGGTTAAAAAAATTCTCGAGATGTAAATTTACTGTTGGACCACCCTCGAACGCGTACTCGGGCGGTTGTGACCATCAAGGAACTCAGAGTGAATGCACAAGCACTAGATCCAAGTGAGTCACGGCGGAGCACCGCTCATTCTTGGTGGCCCAACCCTTATCCGGGTTCATGTTTACGGCGGTGGGATAAACATTGAAGGAGTTCGTGGAAATTCACGTGTTGTGGAATAATGAAACATTCACACATGCCCTACTGGCTTTAGCCCTTATTTTAATTCAATATTTTACTACTTTTTAAGCACCACCTTTATTACTTCTTCTTTTCCTCATGTTCATGCTAAGATCAAAGGATGACATAATGATTGTGTGAAGAACCGTAGACTTAACCATTGCTTGGTTTGGTGGAAAATCAGATTTTATTAAATTTTGATAAAAAAATAATGAAATATGTGATTGAAAGTTAATAAAAAAAAAAATGTGAATTTCATAAAATATATGATTTAATAATAAGTTTTAGAAAATGAGAATTCAGCGTGAACTTAGTATTTTAATCAAGGAATGTATAATTGAACAAATGAACAATGTTTTACTAATGCTTCAACGTTGACCTCGGAATAGGTGGCGAGGGTGGGGTCGGGGTGGGCTAGATGAGATTTGTGAATGAAGAAGGTGAATAGTGTTATCTTTTTTATTTTCCATTTTTTATTTTAAAATTATGAAGTTACCATTTTATCCTTTATTGATTTGATTAAAATAATTTTTTGGAGTCAACCAAAAGTCAAACTAATGGTTTCCATCCATTTAGATTTGAACTACGAATTTTTTGAAAATTTGGTGCCACGGTGGTACAAATGAAAGGTTTGAACAAATTTTGTTAATAAATGAAAGATTTGATACCGTGGCTGCAATTTTTAAAAAAAAAAAAAAAATACAAAAACTAATAGATTTAACACATGTTTGATAGGGATTAAAATCAAAACTTTAGTATATTTTAATAAAAAATGATGAAATGTGTGGTTGAAAAGTTGTAGGTCTTGTGAAAAGTGTAATTAAAATTAATTATTGACTTTGACTTAAATTAAAATCTGAATATTAATTTATACCAAACAAGAGCTTAATCTATTTGACAGATAATCCCACATTATTATTCATAAAAGTTACTCGAAGAGATTTAGTCACATATTAGTGAATTTTAGATTAAGTCCCTGTTTGGTACACATTAAAATTTTCATTCTCATTTTTCTACTCATTTTCAACCACACATCTTTCAATAAAATAATAATTTCCATCACATCAATAACTTTTCATTCATTTTCAACTGTACATTCTCCATCATTCTACTATTCCAAAATACATTCTTCCAAAATAATGTGAATCAAATACACCCTAATTATAATATAAACGAATTGAGAACTATTGTTCAAAATTGACTGTTCACCAATGATTTATTGATACATCATTGAGTGGATTTTAGATTAATTACAACATGAACACGGTGTTTCAAAAGTAGATCAATGGAAGAAAAACAAAATCAAATTTCTATGGAAATAATTAAGATTAAAATTATTAAAAGTGGACTAATTATACCATTATTTAGTAACTTAAAAGTTAAAATTAAATCCCACTTTGTGACTTTTTAAGACAGAGACAAAGAAAGCATTTGATCCACGAATCAATCACAGAGTCATCATCACTCGTCCAATCGAACGATGAATCACAAGCCCTTCGGGACATAGCTTAGTGGTGTAAATGACATGAGTGAGATAGTCTCAACTGAGATTGCGGTCGCAGTGTGAGGGTTCGATTCCTGTTTCTTACAAGGTATGAAATTGAACTTTTTGTGGCTATCAGTATGACACCTCTTGTATCCTGGTCTATTCAGACACATCCCGCGATTTATCTTCTTCACAATGTTCTAGGAGTGGGATGGGGGTTGAACCCTTTTTTTGAATGATGAATCATGAACTGAAACGTGTAACACTTCTTCAAGTGCACGTGTAACTCTCACTGATCATCAGATCAGGTCAAATCCAACGGTCAAGTAAAATAGAAAAAAATAGGCACATGATCATGTTGGACCGTAACTTCCATTAGTATCTCATTAGATGCCCCTTGTGAAAATCTGAACTGCCACTTTCACTTCACTTATCAGATTTCTCGAGGACAAATCTCTCCTGTTTTAAGCAAAGAAGTGATTCTTTTTCACTTTTATTTCAAGAAATCATACCATTAGTATTCGTTATTCTCTCTTTTGTTGAATAATCTTTGTGTTGTTCTTTTTCTTTTACGTTATTTTTGGTGATTTTGTGAATGCTGAGGGATTAGACGAATGTTTTTGGTATTTTGGTTTATGGGTTTGATTTATGACTGATTGTACACTAAGGAAACGCGGACAGTTCAAAAATGGCGGGTGAAATTGAAGAGCCTTTCAGGTTTAATTTTCAGGTACCCTTTTATGAATTTTTATTTTTGTTCGTCTTTTGGAGGTTTTGGATCTATTGATATGATGAAGTAATGATTTGATCTGTGTTTTGTAGGGGCATAATGGGTTTGTTGCTATGATTCTACTTTTTCTCGTTTTATTTTAATTTCAATCTTGTATGAACTTTGTTCGAATCATGTATTGTTAAATTTATTGGTTTCAGATGCTTTTTCCAGAAGATGTTATGTAGTTTGAATTTTTGATTAAAAACGAATTAATGTGCACGGCAAGCTAGTTTTGACATCAGATCAGACTCGGACTCAATGTTGAACACAGTTTCTGATTGCGTAAAACTGTCAACATTCTTTCAAAAGCATGGAATGGGCACCCTGGAATTAAAGTTATATGAGATTGTGGTAGCTCATGTATAAACAATACGGTCTTGTTTGGGTTGCAGTTCTGGAAATGATTGCATAGGAGGATGGATAAGCTATAAAATCTATATCTATTCTGGGATGTCGTCGATAATGGAGATATCCTTGTTTCTTTCGATTAATCACTACGTTGCACTTAAACGTTATAACTATATTAGCATTGGAGTCTTGTTTTAGATTAATAAGGTCTAAATCTATGTTTATATATGATTGATGGGATGGAAATCGTTACTCTGTAAACTATTAGATAGTTTTATCAAATCGAGAAATAAATATCTATTGTTTCCAGCAGCATGAAATTGAGGCTTCAAAATTGGAAGCCTATAAATGATTATAAAATCATCTTTAATTGACTATAATAGTATGCATTATAAATTTAAAGCACATTAACATTACTTACGAGGTTCAAAATTTCTAGTTCAGCTTTCAATAGTGTAGACATTTATAATATTCGTGGCTTTGTAACATACGGGAGGAAATTTTCTTGATTAAAATTTACTTTAGAGAGAATGAACTGATACAATCTAGCTTAAGATGTTAGGACACCAAAGTCACACCTTCATTGCTATTATTAATCAAAGATCAGCTGAATTTTCACAAGGCAATGGCTGAAATCAATTCTAACTAATGGGAACATGTAAACTTGTTGGCATATTTGTTTTTTATGTCTCATAATGGAAAATATATAATTCCATTTAGTATATTTTCCTCTATCTCTTACTTTTCACTTCTCAATGTCTACTTTCTTGAAATGAACAGGCAGATACTTTAAACTCTGGCTCTATCTCATTTGGAAGGTTCGAAAAAGAAGCTCTTTGTTGGGAGCGAAGGTCATCCTTCTCACACAACAGATATCTGGAAGAGGTAGAGAAATACTCAAAACCAGGTTCAGTTACGGAAAAAAAGGCATACTTTGAGGCTCATTTTAGAAAGAGGGGACTTCTTGGTCAGAGTTCATCTGAGTGCCAGAATGGGACAGAATATCAATCCAGTGAAAATGACATCTCAGAAAGTGCGGGGTATGATGAGCAACATGAGCACAAGGATGAGGGCAACTGTTCTGCACATTTTCATCAGAGTTCACACTGTTCAGTGCATGACAGAGAGCATGAAGTTACTGAATCAGAATCTGAAAGAGAAGAGTTTTCTACATCATATGAACTTCAGGTTGAATCTGCATCTGATACCAATGCTGCAAACTTTGTTACTGAACATGAAAAGACTGAAGAAGCAAATCATGCTGAATTTGGCAAGTTACTTCCAACCAATTCTGAGTCGGATATTGACATAGAACAGAATGTTCAGGAAGAAGGATCCAGTTTGGATACAAGGCATATGACGAAAATCGACATTGACTTGCACCCTAATAATCATGTTTCTGAGGTAAATATTGGTGCTAGACCAGAAAACCAACAAGGCCGCTCGGGCCAGTATTTTGAGGTGAGAACTTTATGAATAAAGAAAACCAACGAAGCCAGTATTTTCTCTTTCAATAGTTCGAAACTAGATGTGGTGATTTGATTCTGAAACGAAGTTTTAGACTATGATATTAAGATGTTAGTGGCTAGATGCATTTGGTAATGAAGTTTATTTTCTCTATTGTGTTTGGAGACGGGACGNCTCCCATCCCCCGCCTCGCTAAGAAATTCCCCGTCCCTGCCCCGTTACCCGTTTAAGGCGGAGCGGGGGTAGGTCCTTTCCTCGTTTATTCCCCGTTTAAATTTTTTTTTTTTATAATTTATTTTTATTGTCCATATTCATTAGATTTAGACAAATAATTTTAGTTGTTATTTTCTATTAGAACTAATAAAAATTTTTATTTAAAGTATTGAATTCTAAAATAAAAATAATAAAAAATAAAAATTTAACGGGGCGGGGTGGGGCCCCCGTTAACCGTTTAAGCGGGTTATCCCCGCCCCGTTCGGGGTGGGGCCCAGCGGGTATCGGGTTTGTCGGATTTTTTTGCCATCCCATCAAACCTCATCAGAAGAGAAAGATGAATAAGATCATTGTGCCTATCACATCTTTTCCTTGCTTTACATGGGCTACTATCTGGAATATAGGGGAGGATTGCATCAGGAATCAAACATGTGATCCCAAGATTGACATCTCGAGTTAGTGCTGCACACGAGAAGAGAAGTATGAATAGTCAGGCTTTTAAAGGTTCTGGAACAAAACCTAGAGTAAAAGTCAATGATACTCCAGTAAAATCCAAGGCAGAAAAGAAGACTCCACACGCGGTTGCTCAGAACAAGTGTTCAATGCACAAATTGCCTAAATATGAGGTGATTTTTTACTTATGTGGATACTATTCATGTGATTAAATTTTCAAATCCAAAGCAAGTACATTGTTTTTGCTGTCTTTGTATAATTTTTAATTGTTTGCTGCTTCTGTATCATTTTGTCTAATCAGTATTCTTGGACTATTATGATGTTCATGTAATTGACTGGCTCTCCCTTTCCACAGGTTTTACCAGGTTCAAAGGCAAAAGTTAGCCCAGAGATCAAAAGGTAGTTACATTCTCATTCTGAACTTCTGGTAGTTTAGTGGAGCCAAATTTGTTTTTCTATCGTGAATTGAAATACCAATGATCACCTCCTTCTGATTTCAGCTCTAAGAAAGAATCTGGAATCCATCGAGTTTCAGTGTCCCAGCCTTCGTCATCGCAGATGACTGCCACTACTGCACGTCAAAGTGCAAACAGGTTCTTGCAAGAAAATAATTTACATTATATTTGTGCGTTGAGTTTTTCTGATCTCATATATGTATAATGTTGCTTAGGCTCTCACAAGCTGCAAGTTTAACACCAGGCATGAGGCAGAGAGTCTCTGATTTCAATTTCAGAAGTGGTCAGCCTGCAGAGAGAAGGAAACAGGCAAGAAAGCTTACTATTCCATCAAATGAAACATGGTTATAAAACAACTAAATCTCTGTGATAAAATTATTTTATATTTGTTTTAGTATCATACGAAGTTAGAAGGGAAAGTGCATGCAAAGGAGCCTGAAATTGACCACCTTCAAGCAAAAAGTCAGGTAACAAACTGTAGAAAATATTTTTAACCGGGAAAGAATTTATTTTCTTGTTTACTTCAAAATCATGGCACATGGATGGATTACCTAATAACCATTTGGAAATTAGCATTTGTTTCTCGTGGATATACTGATAATTATGTTAGTTTTTTCTAGAAGAGTCGAAATTGAGTAAAAGAAATGTGTATCATACCATTGTCCTATTACTTTTGTGCCTGTTCTCTCCCACGTCACTTTGTAGTTTGAAAAATGTTAAGGGCTTGTGTTTGTTTTTTGCAGGAAAAGGAGAAAGCAGAAATTAAACAGTTGAGAAGAAGCCTCAACTTCAAAGCTACACCTATGCCTTCCTTCTATCATAGAGTTGGGCAAGGGTCAGATAGAAGCAAGGTACATAAAAAATCTACTTTGTCCTTCTAATGCCTTGAGTAACTTTGAGACGTCTCATATTACCCTTTCTAGTGTTATTGGATCAATATGTTTCCTTGCATTTGACTGAATCCTTTTACTAAGTAATCATTTGATCTTCTTCATCAATTGAGTTCTTTAGAACATTTTGCTTTTTAGTTGTGATCATCATGGAATACTGCAATAAATGGAATTTTTATAATTCTAAAACCTATACTTAGATTTATACCTTTGCTCGATCTGCTTCTTTCTGTTTCCAGCAATGAACTACAGGATATAAAACAATGACTTTTCTATTTTGGTAATTATGTGTATATATTCTTATTAAAAATGTATAATTTAAGTAAGTGGCCCTCTCGTATTTGGTGGACGGCTCTTTTTAGTGATTTAATTTTCCTTTGCCCTTTCATACTTCATACAGAGCAGAGTAGCATCTGAGCCTTGTAGAAAATGACTACAATTCAGTTAAATCTTGAATGTTACTTTCATCTCTCTTCCTGTCAAAGCCAAAACCTACTATCTTTGATATTATATTATTTAAATCTTTTATCCATGGACATGATTTTGAATTGTTATGCTTCATGCTGTGCATTTCTTTGTGATTAATTCGTTCTTCTGATCAAGGTTTTTTATCATAAAAAATAGCTCTAAACTGACAGGGAATCTTCAGATAGAACAAATTTCAAGTGTAAGTACAATTTTTATGCGGACAGTTCGCTTCACATCACTTCGCATTTTGTTTCTTTGGGTTGATATTGTTCATTTGTCATAATTTCTTTAATATGCCCTTTATTCTTCGGCATTCGCATTACAGTCTTTTCTGAGCTTTGCAAAGTACTTTCAAATTATTTACTAAAATCATCAGTTAGTGAAGAATTCGATCCCTTGGATGCTTTGTATCCAGGCCACAGCAAGTAACCCCAAAACAAGAACACCAAGGACTAAATCTTCAAGTTCCAGTATTAGAATTTCTGAAAGATCTTCATCAAGTTCGGGCAAAGGAACTAATCGAGCCCTTCTCATAAGCAAACCTCTGAAGTCTCCATTCGTCTCAGGAGCAACCAGCTGCCATTCAACAGTCACTTCTGATAGCACACCATCATCTCCAGCAGCTATGGAAGGAGAAACCTGCAATGATCATCCAATACAAGCTGAAGTAAACAATACAGAAGGTGAGATGAAACAGCAAGAGAAAGAGAAGCATATAAGTGTCCGGAGCAATAAAGTGCCTGAAGTTAACAAGATTTATAAAGGTCCAAAAGTTGATGGAAAGCAGAAGCCCAGAAATGGGAGGCATAGCTATACTGCAGTCGACAGTAGTTCAAGAACTGGTCGCCTAGCAGTTGGCGTTGCCTCGTGAATGTGATTTCCTTCTCCGTGCGAGCATGTTCCCTTGTGTTTCGCCCAGCATAAACTGTATCCCAGCGTCAAACTGTATCCGTGTACTTTTATGGGGTTGTACAAGGCAATTTGTTATTAAAGGGAGTTTGCTTTCCCCACCATATGTTGTATGCGATGTATAGTTTAGTTCGATAGGTATTAATAACTATGCATATCGTTCGAGAACTCAAATGTGCATCCTAAATTGTATTGCTACCACAACGTGACACTGGATTAACTTAAGTTTATGAAATTATCAGCTTAGTGTGGTATCCTATTTGTTGATAGATAGTAGTAGATTAAAAATTGCCAACTGGTGTACTACCTTATTTGTCTTTACTCATTTTCTGATGCAACAGTAGCCGAATTTTCAGACGGTGCATTGAATTGTGGGGAACCTTGCATCATTTTTGCTTCAGTTTTTGTTGAGTTTTCGCTAGAAGTTAGTAAGCAATGACGTACAAATTTCTTGGCTGATGCTGGCTCAGCAACTGGACTTTCTAGCTCCAACATAAGCAAAAGAGAAATGCTAGATGTACCCTATTGGTGTACATCATGGGTGACAGCCCTTTCACAAGAGGGTGGGGCCCGCAATTTTAAGAATCACGGGCTCCACCCCCTTTTGTAAGAGGACTATGAAACTGAGGGTACATCAAGATGTGCACTCAGCATTATTCTAAAAAAAAATGTCTATCATCTCATAGTCGTGGCCTAGCAGAATGCTAGTCGAGTGTCCAATGTATGAGTTAGGCCAAGAATCTGGACCGTGCACGATCCATATGGAAAATGCAACACTCTTATTTCTTTACCACGCATGAATTTGACCTCATAGGGTTCAAAATTATTCCAAGGAAAGATGTAAATTGTTGGAGAGCAAAACTATACAATCAATAATATAAGTAGATCATCAAGAGTGTGTGTCGTACGAAAATACAAATAAATAATACGTAAAAATATATTTTTTCTCAAAAAATTGTTCACATTTACCTACCAAATTAGAAAATTCCAGCGGTTAGGTGACAATTGTCTTTAGTTCTACACTCTTGTGTCTTCTAATTCGCATAATTCCATGTGAAAGTTTGCTAAGTCCTACTTTTCTACCCCTTCTCTTTCCTTTTTTTTTAGCCCTTTTGTCATGTGCCTCTATTTGGATTTCAAACATATTTTGACAATAATTGTCCTCTAGAAATTTCGCAACCCACTTCATATATTTGGAATGGAGCGTTGGGGTCTCAATAATTTTGGTTGGTGCTCATGTGATAGATTTTTGGCGATAAATAAATTAAAAGACAAACAACTTGTGCAATTAAATACCCCTTGCATTGATACGAAGATGTACATATTCACGGGAGCCAAGCGATCTCCATAGAACAAGTTAAATTAAAAAGAAATAAATCGAAATTAACATGTTTTGGTTGCTAAGGATATACTTTAATTCAGCTTAATTGTGACAAAATAAAAAAAAATATTTTATAGAGAATAAATTTTCCACTTTTGTAAGACTTTTGTGAATTATTAGAAAAATGAAAAAGTGTGGATGTTAAAAGGAAGCCAAAAAAGGAAAAGAGAAAAGTAATCGATTTTAAGGTTTCTTTTCTCCTAACAAATAAATATGAAGTTTTTTTTCTTGCAAATAAAGTAAAATAGTTAAAAGTTTGTTTCCTCATAATCCATACATAATTAATATATAGAAATTAGAAGATGTGACTTGATCGATAATTAAAATGCATACCCTCAATAATTCTAGAAGACAATGCAATCAACTAGTTTGAAAATTCTCATCAAAACTACAACACGAAACGTAAACCACAAGATTGTTGACCCATCGTTCTCATGATCATCATCACACTACAGCCATTTGATCATCATCCCAAAGAATTTCACTTTAAGTACATAAAAGATAATATTCTACTAGGATTCTTGTAATACATCATCATCTAATACTCTTAATTACATGAAAATTCAAGAAAACTCAGACAATACAAAAAACAAGAACAAGCAGAGGCAATATGATGATCATGGTTCTCGATCCTTGAATCAGAGCGGTTGATGATGACTGATCTTGATGAGGTGGCCTTCTGTAAACATATGGGAACCACGGCAGTATTGGCTCGGGCGGCGGTGGCGTAACTCCGTTAAAAGAGTCTGGTGATGGAGGATTATATGGAAAGTAACCAGCAGGAGGGGTGGTGAAAGCTGGGGGAGAGAACGACGTCGGTGGGGCAGTGGTGACAACTGGTGGAGATGGTGGTGTTGTGGCCACTGGAGGGTTGTTTCCGGGGCCGGTTGGTGGCGGATAACACGGATATGGGCACTCTTGTGATGTCGTGGTGGCCGGAAAATCAAGAATTGCTGAGAGGAATAGTAGTAAAGAGAGTAAGTTGGGAAGTCTTGTTGAAGTCATGGCCATAATACTGTTGAGGAAGAAAATGAAATGAAATGTAGAGAGAGACGATTCAGGACCAAGTAAAAATGAGTAGTGTGTGTGTGTGTGGTGGGGTGGGGTGGGGTGGGTGAGGGGTAGGGTGGGGTGGTGTGGTGTGGTGTGGTGTGGGGTGAGGTGAGGTGGGATGGACCTTACTCTTTAACTCTTGTTTTTGATAGTTTTGTCATGGCTTGAAAAGAGTCCAAAGTTGCTAGGGTATAATAAAAGCACGTTTAGTTCACTTTTGGTTGTATTTTTGTGGTCAACATATTGAAATTGTCCCTAATAAAATAAGATTCAAATTGATCAAATAATTGTAAAATAAGAGGAATATCATGGTTTAGGATTATAAAATTTTCTTGGTGACGGTGATTTAATCGCATATCAGTAAGTTAAGCGTCTTATAATAAGGTACAATTTTTGAAGGTAACTTGTTGGTTTTAAGGGTTTTATTCATTCAAATCATTGTGTACAAGATCATCAATAAAATGTAGGGACTCTTCAATCTAATGCATAAATTGCGTTCGCAAGGGTATGAACGACACTATTTTTAATTGTCATTTGATATACAATTGTACCTGTAATTAACTTTATATTGTTTTCTTTTATTCTTCTTAACTAGTCTATTGTAGAATACATGTTCTCAAGCTCGAATTAGGAGTATTTGGACCCTGTTTGAGGTCCATTATTCCAAATTATAATGAGGGGAATATTAATTTTTTAGAAAATGCGTGATTAAAAAAGAAGGAAAAAATATATGTAATATTATTTTATTGAAGAATGTGTAGTTGACAAGAAGAGAGAGAAAAATGAAATTTAATTTAATAATGAATAATATTAGAAACAAAAATTTAAGATATTGGTATTTTCAAAGAGCTAGGTCATTCTTTTGTTTTCAAAATTAAAGAAACATTTCTTAGAGTTTGTTTTTCAATAAAAATCCACAAATTTTGTCATATATTTTTCATCTTAATTTCATTTAGACTTTTCCAATATTTTGTATTAAAATTTTGATAGCTAAAATTGATCATTGATGGATAAAATAAGAAATTCTAAAAATTATATGACTTTTCAATTTTAAAATTTTTATTATATTGATTACTACGTGACAATTACTAGTGATGCTACTAGTACCGCAAAATTATTTTATTTGATTCAGATGACGCAATTGTAAATCAGTTCGAAAGAGGACGAAAAGATGATAAAGAAAGCAAAACAAAAATTTAACATTTCTTCTATATCAACCTCAACTATTAATTATTTACATCGGAGTTGTCTTTAATTAATTACATAGAAAGTTAAATGCACCCAAAAATAAATAAATAAATGTTACTACTATTTATAATAAAGAAGTTACTATTATTCAACTCATTAGTTACGATGTTCTGAATTAGTGGGGCATATCATTGTCTAACTTATGGTATGGGAACTTGTTTTTCAACATTCAATGCATCTACCGCCAATGTGCATAACAATACCACTAACGTCAAACTTACGGCTTCGTTTCAACTTTTATCAATTTAATTATTCCATCTACTGAAATTTAGATGGAAAGAAAATAAATTTTAGGCAATTCAATTGCCTAGACATTATTTGTATGAAAATTATTAATTAAATATGTTTGATTGATTTAGTCCTTGTTTGACCCACATTATTTTTTTCATTCTCATTCTTCTACTCATTTTCAACCACACATTCTTCAATAAAATAATATTTTCCATCATATCAATAATTTTTCCTTCATTTTCAATCACATATTCCCCATCACATCACTTCAAAAAAATGCATTCTCTCATTTTAATGTGCACCAAACAGTAGTTTTCAACCTAAAAATATTATATTTGTCCATTTTTTATTGGTGAGTAGATGAGAGAAAGGAAGAAAGAGTGAATTACTTGAAAAATAAAAATCACCCATCTTTAAAGAAAATATTTTCTTTGTTTTTCAAGAAAAGATGGTCACATGATCAAAAGTTCAAAAATATTTTATATGAAAAGTCACACACCCCAAAATAGAATTTAGGGTGAAAAAATGATATTTTTTATGAAAAATAAAGTGAATAACATACTAAAGTTGACAACCAAAGTTCAAATACCAAAGAAATTTCACTTAAAACTTTGTGACCAAGTGAAATCCTATAAACTTAGAATATTTGTCTAGGAGAGAATTGTTGGCGATTTTATCTCGCTAAAGGATGGAGCCAATGAATAATATAATGAGGAGAAGAGTATCGTTTTTCATGGAGATTGATTATTGATTCTACTTTTTTCAGCGAAATTAACTCTAATAAAACACACAGAGTTAAGATAGGAATTTTAGGAACAAATTTTCTGAATTAACTACAAACAAAGTGATTTGAGCATGCATGAAAAACTTAATTCAATCAAAACAAACACTGGGACTAGGAATCCACCATTGTGACCTTAATTCAATTCTCAATTCCCCGAAAATTATCAATTCTTATCCATGTTGAAAATCAGTTATATAATTATAATCAGCCTCTGTTTGGTATCCATTTTTTTTTCATTCTCATTCTTCTACTAATTTTCAACCACACATTCATCAATAAAATAATATTTTCCATCACATCAATAACTTTTTCTTCATTTTCAACCATAAAAAGGTGTGATTTGACACAAAGAATGCATTTTTTTTCTAGAATAATGGTTATCAAACGGTGCCTGAGTAATCTCTCTCAAACTCAATCAATTCTAAACTTATATGTGAACCTAATTATCTTTAATTAAATTGTAAACATATAAGCATGCAATAATTCGTAAAAATAATGATTTCATAGAATATAATGATAGCTCTGTTAATTATAGGACTCTATGTTTTTTTATTAATATGTACTAGTTTATATCGAACCTCTCAGAAACTACATAAATCACAAACATATTGTAGTGATGATCAAGCATCAAAATAGAGTAGGAGAAAAATAAAAAAATTAACTGGAAGAAAAAGAATTAAACAAAATTTGACTTTTTAACTATTAAATGGATGGAAAAGGCGTAGAGGACCATTTGTGCACAAACCCGATATGTTGAGGGTCAATTAAATAGTATTTGAGGACTCCCTACTTTTTCACTTGCCTAAAGATTTTTAGTAAGAATCTTCTAATCAGCATTCTTTTACAATTTTTATAGTTTTCACTAATGAAATGATATTATTCATCATTGTATAGGTGAAATTTATGATTCTTTAACCCCTCCACCTAGATCCAATGAGGAGTTCGATGTATTCTTATCATATTTTATTAATATTATGTAAAACGTACTCGAATAATGAGGTCGTGTCATGTATTTATAAATGTTGGAGATGGAGTCCTAAAATGATTCAACTTCCTATAGCCCTTATCCTTGTTATATAAGGTGTTTGTGTTATGTTAGAAGTACACAGTCTGAGTTAGAGTCAAATTTGTAATAAGTTGGAAGTTTGTATTAAGGCCCTGTCTAGGCAAGATTTTTGGAGGAAAGCAATTCATTTTTTTCCTGTTACAACCTGAGATTTTTGACCAGCTATCTCTTGTGTGGGACCCTTTGACCAATTCCAATGGATTGATTTTTGCTTTTAATCCAAAAAAAGCCACACCAGACAGGCGCTAAATAAGAAAAGTGGAGAGTTGTAGTCAAAATATAATTAGTATTCCTAAGAAACGTGAGATAAGGTCAAGGAGATCGGACAAAAAATGCTACAAGCCCGACCTCAAACCTGCGCCGAAGTTTGGACCTAGCGTAATTGAGGTGGGCTGAGCTCGGGCATTGGGCAATGAGCTTGAGAAGGGCTTACGGCATTAATACGTATCATCTTATATTTCTATATCATTTTGTTCTCACTTCACAATTAAAATGCATGAAATAACTTACAATTTATTTTCATGCTTTTTGGCTATATGAATTAAAACTTTTATTAAATGCATAAATGATTTTTCTATCAACGGCCAATATAAGTAAAAAAGAACTATTTATTTTGATAGTAATATAATTTACTCGTACTTAACTAGACGTGCACATGGAGACTTTTCCCTAAATTCTCGTTGGGTCGGAAATTAAAAAGTACAAATTTAAATGCCCAAACTCACAAATCCAAAGGTTCAGTATTTTGTGACGCAAAACAGGCAATAGACAGCCAATTAATTTGGCACATTAATCTAAAGTTTCTTCATATTCACATACGCAAGAAACGAGCTGTAAAGAGACACTTATCCACCAAGAATATAAAAACTTTAAGAGGAATAAAGGCTATGCTCTTTGAATGTATGGGGAAAAAGCAAAAGATATGCTTTCTCAAATATGTATAACAATGAAGGAGCCTTCAAAAGAGCTTTCAATCCCTTTTTGTAATGAATTTCTTGACAGCTAATTCTCTTTCACGATGAAATTTGGCGTCATATCGATTCTACGATAGTGCATTTGCATCATACGACTGGTCGTGAATGAACTCTTTTAAGTTTATATATGTACTAAGGCTTCGTGATTTTTAAAAAGTCAAAAATTGATTTTGAATATATTTGAATAATTTTTTAAAGCGATTTATCTGGTTAAAATGTAATAACGACATTAAAATCTTATTACTGTTTTCTTGGAGTGACACGTTTTGATCTTTCAAATGTATAATCTATCAATGAATTAATTCTTTGTAATTACTCTATCAAGTTGCTTTGACGCGTCCAAACTAATCTTACACCAAATCAAATAGTAGTTAATAATTATGCGTCCGTTATTCCTTTTTGGATTGGCAAAGGCTTCAATAATTCACCAAAAGAAAGCTAGTAAACGACCAACTTACCAAACCACATTCACTAACAAAGAAGCGACACATAGTAGACTAGACTAGGTTTAGGAATAAACAACCTCGTGCAACGTTGTTTATACTCCATTTTAGCTTGTGTTTGGCACTCATTAATTTTATTTTTTAAATTTTTTTTCTAATTATAATCACACATTTTTCAAATAAAATAATATTACACACAAATTTAAAAATTTTTATTACTTTTTAATCGTATACTTTTCCATCAATCACTATTTCAAAATTTATAATAGACCCATCATGGATGTCAATTACATGCTGAATTGAACCTTTGGCTAACCACCGGTGGGTCTACACATCAAAAGGTTATGGACCATGTCCTGTCCTTTATTCCAAATATGGGACCCATAATTTGGTGTAACCGAAGTTGATCTCTCTACCCTTTCAATTACTGACAAATTCTGACATCAAGATCAGATAAGAAATAATTCCAAGGATAACCTTCAAGGATTGTTTGCTGGCCAAAAGCCATTCTCCAATACTTTTGAGGGGTTATTAGATATAGTTGAAAGGATTTATTTGCCACTTCTCCATAGTTGTAGTGCCAACTGCAATTTTGCATTGTTTGTTGGAGTCACAGATAATTATTTATTTTTACCCCTTATATTTTAATGTGTGAAAAAGGATAATAAAGATAGAATTTAAAAAAAAATCTAGCTCTTATTTTGTAGAAATTAAAATCTGGATTTTAATATCTGTCGAAGAGGTGCTTGGTATGTAAAAGAATATTTCGGTCATGTCTTGATGTGATCTTTCTGATTGATTTGACTCTAAATTATCTTTACAATTGAAATTTTCTTTTTATGAACCACATAAAAAAAAAAAATCTTATTTTTAAAACTACGTAAATCATTTTCTACTATGTTAATTTATTATATATTTATAACAAAGATCAAATTTTTAATAAATTTTGATAAAAGTTGACAAAATATGTGATCGAAGAATCGTATGCCTCATAAAAAGTATGATTAAAATTAAATATTAACTTTATATTAAAAATTTTATCCGATTTTAATCAATACAAAATCATAATATTAAAGAACCAAACTTTAGGCAGCACATCTACACATGAGGACGCTTCTCAGAAGAGAAACATATCCAACTAGGTGGTGGACCCTAAAAGAGTAAAAACTAACTTGTAAATTAAGACTACAATGAAACTTAGAGGTGTCAAATCCGGCAGGACTCGACTTTGAACATTCTTATGGTTTTCAGGCACCAGAATTCAAACAGATGCTGCTGTTTTGTCTCTCCGTTTTGTTTTTTTTTTTTTTTTTCCATTATCCAACCGAAAACTGCCAAGTGTCATCTGTTTGAATTCTGGTGGAATCTTTTCTGTACAAATAGCAGAGCTCGTTTTCAGGCATGACCCGTGACGTGCCTAAGTCGTCGCAGGATGAGCGGGGCACAGACAGAATTTTATTATTAATTTTCCGAAAAAATAAATTGAAAAGACTTCATTCGATCTATCCTTTTTGACATCTCTAATCGAAACATGAGCCGTGAATAATATGTAACTTTGAGAATTAAAGAAAACATTTTTGTGGTGGCCATCAAACTGAAGATAAAAATCAAGAAACTATGAAACTGAAGAACATCACAAACCACTTGGATTAGATTAATAGCATGATAATCGAGAAGAAAATGAAACAGAAAGTTTATTGAAATTTATCAGACACTTGTAGATTAAGCTAATTAAAACTAATTAACAACACCAACCTAAGGATTAGAAAAAAATTCTTATCCCAAGAAATTCTTCACCTCCTCACGGATTGCATAAAATTTTGTGCCCTTTGTCTTATTCATATGAAAACTAGGAGTCCCAATATAGTGCTGATAAAAAATGGCAATCCTAGAGAGAACCTTCGGGTAGCACCGGAATAATAGGGGTCGACGGGGTACAAATTTCCCGGTGGACCATTTATGTATATGTAAGGAGGATTTGGAGGGTACTGGCCGCCGCCGCCGCCGCTGGGTGGAGGTGGGCAGTAGTTGCTTGGTGGCTTAATCTTCGGTGGGGGTGGTGGCGGTGGTGAAGGCGGTGGAGGAGGCGGTGGGGCTTGGTTACACGGTTTGTTGCAAGGACAGCTTCCACACTTGTTCTCCAAATCCGGTGGTGTCGCATCATCAAGCTTTCTTGGATTCAATCCGTCGATTCGAACCGCGATTGAGACGATAACCAAAAAAACAGTGAATTTCTTCAACATTTTGAAGATGGCCATGGAAATTTGGAATTGGAGATGATGGAATTTGATTTTTTTTTTTGTGGAGTGGAATAAAGAGAAGGAAAATTTCTTTTAAGTACTTTGGAAAATGAATTGGGACGTTAGAATGCAAATAGAAGTGAGTGTAATAAGATGAGTTGGTTCATATCTATGCATGGAAAATGGAATTGACTTAACCTACAAGAATGCATGTGGGGTGGTCCACTTTTTAGGTCACAAATTAGGACTTAATTAATCATATTTTCTTGCCTTTGCATCTATACTTTCAATAATTGTGCACTATTATTTAATAAATACACGCGTTTCATAAATTATGTATGGAAAAAGTTTGAGCACTCCAAGTTCAAGCTAGTTTTTTTAAATAATTTGATTAATTATTTTAGTGGCTAGTAATTAAATTATTACGACGTTGTTGGTCGATTCACTCTCTGTACAAGAAGTTTCACTATTGGCGAGAAGAATATTAATCTTGGAAAGCTTTTAAATTGTGCTTTTTTTATGAATCGAATATCTCCGTAATTGTATAAAAAGAATGTGACGTTTGATTATAATGTGTGAAATATAGAAGTCAATGGGCAGGTCATGTATGCCCATGTGGATGACCTTCCACACCCTTGCATTAATTTCTTTAAACGAGTAATATGCGGAGAAGGCTCTATTGTAACATGATAAAATCAAGGAAAGCCATAATGGATTCACATATTTGATAAAGCCACTGTTTGTGCCTTTAGACAGCCCATCTTTGGTTGTAAATTTCTTCAATTTGAAATAGTATTATTGATTAAATGGCCGGTCTGCGTTGTTGGCTAAGACGGTAAGACCTATTCTAATCCAAAAAAGTATTTTCATAAAATTATTCAAAATATCCAAAAGCAACTTTTGAATCTCAAAAGTCATGTCGTAACGGATTCTAAATATGAAGAATGAAATGAATTAATTGAGTAAATTATTCAAGATAATTTGATGGAATCCATATCCAAGATTGTAATAATTTATACCATCATATTTTAATTATTTAATCTTAATTAAAATTATATGTTGTCTTTATTCTTTAACGCTAACCTTTTGTTTTAGATTCTGAATCCAAAAACAAAAAACTAAATTAAAGTAGTCGGTTCGGTGGGTGAACTTGGACTTCAAGTTTTCATTATTATTTATTATTTAACGATAATTTACTTCCAAATTAAGTATATATTAAAAAATAATGACAAATTTCAAGATCAAGCCTCAACATTTTCATAGTTATAAGTCGGTGGAAATATTTCGTCTCAGTTTGATCAATCGGTCTCAATCATACTTGCTTATATAATTACACTCACAAATAATTATTAGCTTGAGCCTACCTTCTCATACCTACGTTATTGATTAGGAGGCAACATCTTGCATCATAGGCATCATTAATCGGTGTAATATTAAATACCATGTCAAAGATTCGAGTTTAAATTGACCTCCCCATTCAATATCTCGACTGCTCAAGAAGTTGAAACTAGTTGATACTCTTACCAATAATACACTCAAGCCAACCAGACTGAAACCGACCACACAAACTCCAGCTTGAAAGAAGAAAAAATCAAACTGCATACATACATTGTGTTATAAGGGTGCTTAATATCTATTGTGTTTGGCCCAATGATGCAGCCCAATTATCTCTCGATATTCCTCTATGTATTTTTCTCTCTAGGATTATCTTGAGGTTAGATAATCTTGGTGATATCTTTGTATAGATTACGATTCTGGTGTGATTTTTGTGTTCTTGGTGAGCACAGATCTGGGTTACTGTGTGTAATCTGTAAAAGAGAGAAATAGGGATATTTGGGCTGAGGGTTTGAGTCGAGTGATTCTTTTTGGGTCTCTGATCTGTACTTGATAAACTTTGTTGGATTCTAGTGGATTAGAGCGATAATCACTCCGGTGTATGCTCAACGGGTGAGTAG